GGCCGAATCGTTCCTCATCACTCGCTTCACAATCGCCATCGTCGTCGGATAACAACGAGGTCTTGAAGGCTTTGTGTAAAGAAGCTGGTTGGGTTGTTCTTCCAGATGGCACTACTTTTCGTAAGGTATAATCTTAATCTCACTAATTATTTATTCCTAAATTCGAGTAGAATTGAAGGATTCATSTGCATTTATGGCRATTGGTTAGATCTAGAGGTTTATGAAYTGGTATCTCTTCACTAAAATCGAGCTAAATTGTTGAGAATCGATAGGATTCTGCAAATGGGTGTGTTTGATTTTGGGATTTCTTTCTTCGATTGTGGATTTTTGGATTTTTAACTTATGGATCTAACCATCTGATTTGTTTTTCTTGAGATTTCTTATAGAAACCCTAATTTGTTCTGAATTTGAATCTGTTTGATCAATTTGAATTCATATGATGGTGGCTGCAAGTAGATTCTTACCCAGAATGCCAATTGTTGAGACTTGTATGAAAACTTATAGATGTTCAATGATCAAATTACACCCAATTTCAAGAAATTTGCAGAAATTTCTTACTTAAATTTCATCAATTGATCACATGAAAACGAATTGTGTGATGGAAGGTTCAAAATCTTCATGAATAGGGTTCTTTATTATGAATTTATGATGCAAATTTTGATTCAAAATCGCAGGGATGCAAGCCATCACCCTCCTCCGTTGAAATCAAATGCACATCAGCCAACACAACACCATCTTCTTCCCAGAGACCGAGTCCACCATCTTCATCGTTTCGGAGCCCATCCCGCCTTGATTCCAAAAACCCGCCATCAAATAACCCTTTCGGTTTTCTTTCCAACTCCATTCCGCCATCACTCCCACCTCTGCGTATCTCAAGCAGCGCCCCTGTGACCCCACCTCTTTCTTCCCCAACTTCAAAGTTTCCGAAAAAGAACAATCTTGATTGGAAGATTTCACCAAACAATACACTTCCACCTTCAGTCTGCCAGTTTTTGCATCATCAGTGCCCACTAGCCCGAACAGGCACCAGCGGTTCAGGCCTTTTACTATACCAGAGTGCGATGAGCCTGATTGGTGCACCACTGGTTCCTTCCAACGGCTGAGGTTCCAAGATTGTGATCCAATGATGGTGAACCCCAATTCTCCGACATTTAACCTGGTSAACCCAAATGCTCGAGTGGTTGCTACCAATGATCCGATCCGAGAGAAGGGGAAAGGGGTGAAGGCGTGGAAAGGTGAGCGGTTTCATGATGTTGGTTTCGATGATCTTGAACTCACCCTTGGAAGCGGGACYGCTAAAATATAAGCGTACATATATTGATTGATGCTGGAATTCTCAAGATTTGAAGATTTAGAGGTTAGAATATGTATCGAATTCTTTTGAAGTGACCRGTGATCTTAAATATTCGATCTTGATTTTGGTTCTTGGTTCATCATTTTAGTGAATAGAAACCCATGTTTATGATTCATGTGGATATTGGTATGGTGAAGAAGCTTGATCATGTCTCTTGTAGAATCTGGGTTTCATCTCAAAGTTGGAAGCAATTGGCATTGAGATGAATCCTTGGTGAATCTTTTATGATGTTATGAATCAAATGAAAATTATTTGATATGAAACTTGCACTTTTGCTTGATTTTTTAGTAAATGTTTAATTTATAAAATTTTTAATAATATAATTAGTTTTATCTATATATTATATTATTATTATTATTATTATTATTATTTTATTATTATTACTACTTTATAAATGAGATTTGGTAAAAGTCTTAAAAACAAGTTTTGATGCTTAAGGTACTGTCTTYTTATGCATTGAGTCTTAAAGTCTTAAAAATGTACAACCTCTAATGCATTTAGTACAACTCTATAAAGCATACTTTGGTATTAAAAGCCCTTTTTTCCSTGCACCAATAGAGCAGATCTYTTTMAGAWKGTTAACTTGTTTTACTCCATGTTTGTAGTTGTCGTTATGTTTATATTAGTGGGTAATTGAGGTTTTTTCTAAGTGGTGTCATTTGCAGGGTTCAGTTGAAACGGTCAACGCAACAGAGTTYTGGTTAATATATTTGGTTGCAAGGCTAGGTTAATATGGAGTTCAGAGCACTTGGTTAATACTTGTTGTAATCTTGATTCAAGTATCGAAGCAAGAGAAACTACACTAATGATATGTGCAAGGCATAAACATGTTGAGTGTCTTAAGCTTCATGTTGCTACCAATTTGGGTTTGATAGGCATAACAATGTTGTCTTTTGTAATTTTAWAATTTATTTATGGTGTAACTATATTATTAATTTTCTGGTTGGTTGGTTTGTAGTTTGACGAAAGAATTCAACTCTATCATCGTTAAATCTTATTTTATAAAACCAACGGAACTTCAAAATCGTTAAAATTCATGGCTCCCGCCGCATTGCGCGGGTACACAACTAGTATATATATATATATATATATATATATAGAGAGAGAGAGAGAGAGAGAGGTGAGTTATTATGCAATCTTTACATTTGTACAACCAATACAACTCAATCTCAACCGTCGATTTAATTTGATGAATATGCAATTTCACAAAAGTTTAGATTGTTTCATAATATAGAGTATTGATCATAATTAATAAACTCTAGTCATTTTACATAAATATTCAAATTATGATAAATAAACTCTAATCATTTTCATAAATATCTCAATTGATTAGGTTGCATTGTTTGTACAAATATAATAAGTTGCATTTGAAACGACATCTCTCTATATATTATATGTAAAATTTTTAAAATGTTTTAAAACAAGTTTAAATTAAAATAAAATAGAGTCAAAAACCTTATGCTAATTATTAATTTTATTTTTTTGTTTTTCGTAGAAAAAGTAAAAAGAAAATTAGAAAACAAAACCTGACCTACCCTTATATAAAGTCGTCATCACCCTTCGGTCTTGTGCTACACGACACTCTCACCAAATCTAACTCATGGAAGAATCTGTCAATTTCGTTAACGGCTACGGCAAAGTTAACCCCTCCGACGATGAAACAACCTCCGTTACCGGCCAGGCTCCTCCCTCAAACCGACGTAAAGCCATCGCCGTGATCGTTACAGTCGGCTTCTTCTTCGTCATAGTCGCCGCCATAATCGGAGCAACCGTAGTTCACCATCCCCGCAACAAACCGTCGGAATCGCAATCGTCATCGGTGAAGACAAATAACTCCATCAAAGCTGTGTGTGCAGTCACGCCACATCCGGAGTCGTGTTTCACCGACATCTCCTCCATCGATTCCGATAACGCCGTGGATCCGGAGATCATCTTCAACCTCACGCTCCGACTCGCCGTCAACGAGCTGGCGAACATCTCGTCGTTGCCTAAAATTCTAATTTCGAGATCGAACGATTTAAGAACCGGTTCCGCGTTGCGAGACTGCGCGACTCTGTTCGATGACGCGTTGAGTCAACTGAGGCAGTCGGTGGAGGCGATGCGTGTGGGGAGCGGCGGCGGGGAGAAGGTGGTGTTGACGGAGGGGAAACTGGCGGATTTGAAGACGTGGATTAGCGCGGCGATGACGGATCAAGAGACGTGCGTGGATGGATTAGAGGAGATGGGATCGACGGCTGTGGATGAAGTGAAAAGGAGGGTGCAGAGATCGAAGGAATACATGAGCAACAGCTTAGCAATACTCGCAAATATTGAAACTTTACTCGACAAATTTGGGCTTCACTTGCATTGATATGACGAAATTGCCACTGAATGTAGTATTTTTGTTTGGTTGTAATTAATTCTTGTGTGCAATATGTTGTGTAACAAAAAGAAATATGTTTTTATAAAAGAGTGAATTAACAAAATCATCTACATATTTGTACGTACATGTGAATCCCATTCAGGTATCATTCTATTTCTATCCACATTTTGAAAAACAATTATACTTATTTTGGGTTTGTCATTCGACACCAAACTATTTTTATAGTTCTCAAACTTAAAACAAATGTTTTAGGTATATATACTTGGTTCTCATCCGATTTATGATGTGATGTACATTTTTATATATTTGAGCTTTGTTATGTTTCCATTCTTTTATCAATAAGTTGACCATGAAAGTAATAGAAAGAAAGTGGATGTCACGTCTTTTAAATGATTGAGAAATTTCATATGTTTTACAAAGTGATTAAATCCAACACTTATTTTAATGTCCCATCTAAGTAGACATAATTGGACAGGACTGAACATGATGGGACATGACTGAACATAACAGGTATATGTTTGGTGTTTAGTAGGACTAGGACTGGACGAGACAAAACTAGACAAACTATCCCCAAAAGTTAAATATTATATAATATTATAATTAACACAAATAAAGTAAATAATTAAAGATTAAATATTTGTACATAATTTTCATATTGTACCAAATTTGAATGAAAAATTTGATGTAATTGATGGTAGTAGTGGTGGTACTGGTGGTTTTGGTTATGGTGGAGGTGGAGGTGGAGGTGGAGGTGGAGGTGGAGGTGGAGGTGGTGGTGGCCGACAGTAGTAGTGGCAACGGGCGGTGGTGGTCGGTGGCCGACAGTGGTTATTGAGGTAGAGGTAGTGGTGTTTGGTGGACGACGGTGATTATAGAAGACATGAAGATGGTAGATTGTGGTGGTGGTGGCGGTTGATAACGGTGGAGGAGGTAGTTGTGGTTGATGTAGTAAAGATAGTGGTGGTGGTGGTGGTGGTTATGGTGGAGGTGAGGTGGCAATGAATGGTGGTAGTCGTGGAGGTCATGGAGTAGGTCGTTGCAGTAGATGAGTAGTTGAAGGTGGCGAACGATGGTAGTGGTGGTGGCAATGGACGGTAGTAGTCGGTGGTCGACTATGGTAGAGGTGGCAATGGACTTGGTGGACGGTGGTTGTGGAGGTTGTTGTTGTAGTAGAAGATGAGGAGGTGGAGATGGCCGTCGGTGACCGCCGGTAGTGGCGGCGGTGGCCGAAACTAGCGGTGGTGACCATTAAAACAAATATCATATTAAAGTTATATATCAAACCAGGGTAGATTAGTAATATTTTAGTTTCTGTCTCTTTCTTATCCCATCATGTTCCACCTATTTTGGTGGAACAAGAAAAAACCTCTTTTGTCCCATGTTGTCTCACATTGTCCCAGTTCTTGTTCCTGTCTCATGTCGCGTCAAACGTGGGACAATAAGTTCTTGTTCTATCTCATGCTGCGCCAAATATCGAACAATGGGTTTTGTCCCGTTATGTCCTGTCTCGTTGCATGTACCAAACGCAGCCTCGCAGGCCAATTTGAGAGTGGCTTGGCTAGTGGTGGGTTAAATAGATATGGTGGCGGTTGGTTGGTTGGCTGGCTATGAGTGAGTGGAGGTGGTTGGGACGAGTGGGTGGAAAAGGAGAACCGGTGGAGGTGGAAATCAGTTATGTGTGTATTTTTATAAGAGGGATCCATTATCACCAAATCTTTTTAAAGCGTCATATGATCAATAAACCACGTCTTAAGGACTTATCATACTCATCCATGTATGTATTTTTGAGGTAGAGACCAATTACAAGAACCGGATTGGTTATGCCACAACTCATTATGTGGTGACCCTTATTTATCATATGGTGTCACAGTCATAACAAGCTTTTGGCACATGTTTAGTGGATGCTAGGTTTGTAAGGAAGGGCAGATAGATAATGATTTTGATATGTTTTTTTAGACCGAGCCCGTGTTTAAAAATCACGAACCAACAAATAGCCCTAATTGTTTAGCTAGCATTTAACATTTAGACGGTATGAGACATAACAGGACTAGACTAATTGTCTCTCTTGTGTTTGACAAGCTTAACACAGAAGAATTTTTTTAACAAGAACTCATAAATTTTTCAAAAAAAAAATTAATTTCTTTCTCTTGTGTCGTGAAAGGGTATGTGGAGGGAAGAGGCAAAAGGTGTCTAAGTGGAAAAGACAATTCTGCACAAGTACAAGCCATCGTATCATTATCTCTGTCGAAATAAAATTATCCGAGATCATGTCAAACATAAGACTATTTTCCGCAACATTCTGATTTTGATACTTCAGACTAGAGATGGCCAAAAACTGGTCCCGGACCGGTCCCAATCGGTCCTCACCATTCTCATAACCGGCCATAACCGGTCCTGGTCTCGGTCGAAAATTATAAGACCGGTATAGGTACTTTATAACCGGTTATGGGCCGCCGGTCCCGGTCCCAACCGGTCCTTCATTAAAAAAATAAGATTTTTTATTTTATTTTTTTAATGATATATATTTTTAATACATTATAAAATTTACAATTGGGTCACTCAAATACACTTTAAAAATGCGTTTTAATATAATTAA